GGACACTCACTGTACTTGGGAGGGTGACTGGGCTGGGGACACTCACATACTTGGGAGGGTGACTGGGCTGGAGACACTCACTGTACTTGGAGTGTGACTGGGCTGGGGACACTCACCGTACTTGGGGAAGAAAAAGACCTGGTGTTCGGTCAAGTTGGCTCCTCTGACTCGCTGCTCAAACACATTCAGGGCAGAATCACTCACCGGGAGTGAGCGGACTGTGGGACACACAGAGTTCCCGTGGTTTAAGGGGGCAGGGTACCCAGGACACAGCCAGGTCAGCTGCCTGTCCCTGCCCCTTCTAATCTCCATACCAGCCTGTGTGTAGCTGCTCCTCCCGGGGTGCCTGCTACTGAGAGTATTGGGATAGAAAGGGAATGGGGATCTGTGTGGCCATCTGGAGTCACCCAGCCCACCAGGATGGCCCTTCGAGGTTCCGTGTGGATGCTGAACTAGCACGCACCATACAGTTTCACAGACAGCCTCCTCGCCTGCTCCAGATACAGGACAGCGAAGTTCTGGTAGTCAGTCTCAGCGACAACCACATGCACTGGCCCACGGGCCCCTGGGGCAGAGGCAGAACCATAGCAACAGCACCATCAGCTCCTCAGCCCCCGCCTCCAGCTCTGTACCCCCTTGCTTGATGACCTTGCCTCACCTTGGAGCAAGAAGCGGCCAGGGACCCCAGTGTCTCCAAAGCGTTGGCGTACCTGCCAACAGATTCCATCTCTAGGGAGGGGAAGAAGGTATGATATAAAGAAGTATCCAAGGCTCTAGGAACTCCAACCCAGGTGGGGCTGTATGGGGATACCTACCCAGGCCATAGAGGAGTTAGGAGTGAGGTTTAGGGTCAAGATGACAGAGTAATGGGGGCTCAGGAACTGGAATGAAGGTGGAGGCTACACTGGGACTCACAGCTTTCGGAAGGTGCTGACAGCCATAGCTGCACCTTGGGGAGCTGTGTGCAATGTGGTGGCCTCAGCCCGGTGGCCCTGCTCCTGAAGATATCGGCATGCGGAGCCCACAGCCACAAGGAGCCATGTCCCTGCAAACTGGGAGTGAATTTGGAGGGCTCAGGACTGACGGAAGGAATGGGCACCCTGAATCAATCCTGCCGTCTGTTCCTTTACCTGCTCCCACTCACTCCCAGCTTTTACCTGCTCAACATTGAAATTTGCCTGGGCCTGGATGGTGCTGATAGGGGATGGAGCCCTAGAGGGCTTCCGAGCCCTTTGGCCCAGAGAAATGGCTGTCAAGAGCAGGGTGAAGAACAACACAGCCCTAGGGGACAGCATGGTGGCCCTGTCAGGGACAGTAGGCGACAGGACAGGGAGGTGGAGGAATGCACTGTCCCAGGTCAGAGTCCACTGTCCAGGGCCACAGGAAGTCCAGCCCAGGAAGTCCACATCTGTCTTCCGTTTACTGAACCCCTACCCCAAGCTAGGGTTATCCTAGCACCTGGCCTGCACAGGGGCTTGGCATTGCGCCCCAAGTGCAAAGTCTGCATTGACTTCTGCACCCCGATTTCCACTTGAGGTCAGGGCTCAACACTCTGCACGCCAGTAACTGCTCTTATCCCCACAGCCAACAACAACGTGCTCATAAAGTTACTTGTTCAAAGCCTTAGCAGCAGAGAGAGCCCGGGCCGAGTCTCGAACCCGTTCAGCTGGGCCGGGCTCGTTACTGCCGCCCTTTCGAGCAGCCAGGAGCAAGTACGGTTCTATCAGAAAGAGCGCGGGAGCACGAGCGCGCGCAGGCGCATAGAGAAACGCCGGCCCCGACTCGGAGCCCAAGGCGCAGGCGCAAGAGAGGCGGCCATCGATGCCTCGGGGCTCGCGGCGTCGAGTCTGGCTCTTCGGGAAAGACGCGGAGGCGGGGGTTAGAGCGGCGGAAGCGGGGCGCAGCGCAGCGGGCGGAGGCGCCGCGGTGAGTCCCGGCTTTGGCCCTGCAGTGCTCACCTGTGTCATCTGCCCTGCCCCTCGACACCGGCCTTGTGCCCCATTACACCCAATCCTGCCGTCGTCAGCCTTGTGCCACTTTCGGTGTCCCTTACCCCCGGCACTGGCGTGAGTTTGTTTTCTCAGGCCTTGTCCCGGTCATGGGCCTCGCCCTGCCTTGCCCTACCTCCACTGGCCTTGTCCACTATCACCAACTTTTTCCTGGCAATGGCTACATGTGTACAGCCTTTGGTCACCTTATCTGGCCAGGGATGGTCTTGGCAGGCTGTCACCATCCCAGTTCGCCCGGCAGTGTCAGAAGGCGAATGAAGGACCCGCTGCCCAGTCTAGCTAGGCAGCGAGACAGATCCCTGCCGTCTGCTCTGACAGTCAGAACCCCTACCCACCCTTACCACCCTCCTGGCCAGGCTCTCTCCTGGGCCCACAAAGCAGAGACCCCTGGTCAGGAGGTGCCCCTTCTCAGAAGAAAGTCAGCCCTAGCTTGAAGTCTTGGGGCAGCAAGGTCAAAGACAGGGGTCGGGTGTCTGTCACTTGGTCTTGACTGCTAGAACTTGGACCTGCCAGTTTGGGCAGCCCAGACCTGTTTGCCTGCCTTGGCACTCAGATGTCTTCCTGGGCTCAGGAGTATGGGGAAGGTGTCAAAGACCCCCACCTGGAAGGTATGAAGATGGGGGACACCTCCCACTCTTGAGGGTGCACTAGGCCTACTGGTACTGAGATGTTCACCATCTGGTCCAGCCAGTCCTTTGGTGCCCCTGAAGGATGTGAGGCTGGCTGCTTCAAGAAGTGTGGGGTGGAACAAGCGCTCCTCTTCCCCTGCACATGCCCAGTGCAGTGGAATTCTCGGATGGGCAGTTGGTGGGGCCGGAGGAACAGCCAGGAATGCCATGTCTGAAGCCCCAGGCCATCAGTCTCTCCCTAGGGTTGGGAGTGAGGAGGCCTGGGCTCAGAGCGGCCACTGGTGGCTTTCAGGACCGTCTGGGCAGAATGTCACGATGGATGAGGGGGGCATGCCCCTGCTCCCCGACAGCCTTATCTACCAGATCTTCCTGAGCCTGGGCCCTGCAGATGTGCTGGCCGCTGGGCTGGTATGCCGCCAATGGCAGGCTGTATCCCGGGATGAGTTCTTATGGAGGGAGCAGTTCTACCGATACTACCAGGTGGCTCGAGATGTGCCCCGCCACCCAGGTCAGTACCTGCACACAACCTGCTAACCTGAGAGCAAGGGCTCGGGGCTCTGGGACTGCACCCCTGGGCCGCGTTGTGGGGAGGCCATGCTGTCCGCCCTTGGTCTGTACTAGCAAGGGAGGCTTGCATGTAGGACTGACACTGCATTGCCCACAGCGGCCACGTCCTGGTATGAGGAGTTCCGACGGCTCTACGACATGGTACCCTGTGTGGAGGTGCAGACACTGAAGGAGCACACTGACCAGGTCCTGCACCTCAGCTTCTCCCACTCGGGGTACCAGTTTGCTTCCTGCTCCAAGGACTGCACGGTGAAGGTGAGAGCACCTCTCTCAGGCAGCAGAACTCAGTGGGAAGAGAAGCCAGTGCTGAGACAAGCAGAGAGGGCCAGATGGGACCTGGAGGCCTGATCTGGACACACAAGACCCCCAGTTAATAACAGCTCTAACCTCTAGCTCCAGGGCCAGCCCTCTGCATTGACAGGGTATGGTAAGAGGGGGTGGTAAGGGGCTAGGACGAGATTCTCGCCCCAGGAGGACTCAACACCCACAGAAGAGTCAGGCCTTCTGGTACTGCCAGCATGGACTGGCCAGGTAATTACCACGCAGCCCCTCTGGTGCAGATCTGGAACAACGACCTGAGTATCTCTCTGCTGCACAGCGCAGATATGAGGCCGTACAACTGGAGCTACACCCAGTTCTCCCAGTTCAACCAAGATGACTCGCTGCTGCTGGCCTCAGGGGTGTTCCTGGGGCCGCACAACTCCTCCTCAGGCGAGATAGCTGTCATCAGCCTAGGTGTGTGTGGCCATTGGGTTGGGCTGCCTACCCCATCATGCCCTGCCTGCTGGCAGCATGCCCAGTTGTGGCCTTCCTCCCAGACTCCTTCGCCCTGCTGTCCCGTGTGCGAAACAAGCCCTATGATGTGTTTGGCTGCTGGCTCACAGAAACCAGCCTCATTTCGGGGAACCTGCACCGCATTGGAGATATCACCTCCTGTTCAGTGCTGTGGCTCAACAATGCCTTCCAGGTTCAGACTGGGGCAGGGACAGGCTGGGCAGACAGATGGGGTAGGGCAGGGAAATAGAGAGGAAGGTGCGGGCAGGGCTGGATGTGGAAGGGCAGGCTCAGGGCCCAGGGTAGGCTGCTCTCCAGGCCTAGCTCTCTGGCCAGCACCCACCTGTTGCGGGCCTTGGCTTGTGTCCCTGTAGGATGTGGAGTCGGAGAATGTCAACGTGGTAAAGCGTCTCTTTAAGATCCAGAACCTCAATGCTAGCACCATCCGCACGGTGATGGTGGCAGACTGCAGCCGCTTTGATAGCCCGGACCTCCTGCTGGATGCTGGGGACCAGGCTGGGCTCCCCTGCCGAGTCTTCGACCTAGGTGGGGACAGTGAAGAAGAGGCCCTTGACCCGGGTTTGCACACCTCTGGTTCTGGCCGCGTCAAGGAAGGCTTGCGGCGCATGTTGGATAGTGTGTTGGATGGACACACACAGCTATCAGACTGTGCACTGGAGGCCAAGGTGGCTGAGCTGCTGGCCCAGGGCCACACCAAGCCCCCAGAGTGTAGCGATGCTGACACCAGGAACAAGTACCTCATCTTCACCACTGGCTGCCTCACCTACTCACCCCATCAGATCGGTAATGGTGGGCAGGGTAGAGCTGGGCCTGGGAGGGTCAGCAACCACGGTGGTGCTCCCCAGACCAGCAAGTCCATAAGCACAGCTTGGATCATGCATTGGGATCCAACCCTGGCTTTGACACACTTGATCCTGTGTAAGAGTGGTGAAAACCCAGGCAGGGGATTGGTTGGCAAGAGAACAGGTGGGCAACTGTGCTTGAGTGTTAAGTGTCGGCAGTGTGTGTGGACCACGAGGGCTGTTCTCAGATTGGGAGTGCCCTTGTGGTGATGGCCCTCCAGGCTCTGGATGACCCCTCGCCCTGGTCTCCATGCAGGCATCAAACAGATCCTGCCACACCAGATGACTACAGCAGGGCCTGTGCTGGGTGAGGGCCGGGGCTCCGATGCCTTCTTTGATGCACTGGACCATGTCATTGACGTGCATGGGCACATCATTGGCATGGGCCTGTCTCCTGATAACAGGTGGGCCTGGTGTGCTGGGTGGGACACCACAGACGGCCCAGATCTAATAGCATGCTTGTTCCTAACATGTGTCCCTTGCTCAGGTACCTGTATGTGAATAGCCGTGCCTGGCCTCCTGGCTCAGTGGTAGCTGACCCTATGCAGCCACCGCCCATTGCAGAGGAGATTGACCTGCTGGTGTTTGACCTCAAGACCATGCGGGAGGTGAAGCGGGCTCTGCGAGCACACCGCGCCTACACGCCCAACGACGAGTGCTTCTTCATCTTCTTGGACGTCAGCAGGGATTTTGTGGCCAGGTGTGGGCTCAGGTGGGCCCCAGGGCTTGGGTACGGGCTTCTGCTGGTGGGTGTGGGCTCATCCAGATGCTATCCTACAGTGGGGCTGAAGATCGGCATGGCTATATCTGGGACCGCCACTACAACATCTGCCTAGCCAAGCTGCGGCATGAAGACGTGGTCAACTCGGTGGCCTTTAGCCCCCAGGAGCAGGAGCTTTTGTTGACAGCCAGCGATGATGCCACCATCAAAGCCTGGCGCTCACCACGCACTGTTCGTGTCCTCCAAGCCCCACGCCCGCGCCCACGCCCCTTCTTCTCCTGGTTTGCCAGCCATAGGCGCTGAGGACTTCAGTGACTTGAGCCATTGGGACCCACTGGGGAAAATGATACCCTGTGGTTCTTTACTGCACTGGGGCAGAGTAGCTCATAGCAGTCATGCCTTAGGAGGGGACAGCCTGACCCCAACACACTCACACGCAACCTGCTCACTTAGCTGTCGGGCTCGGCACTTGGGTAGTAGCCCTTGTTGGCGGCACCAGAGAGCCCATGTCAGCCTCTGGGCCAGTGCAAGTCCTGCTCTTCACTTGCCCTCTTCCCTGGGCTGGCAGCTCCACACAGCTCCAGGCTGACCACTGCCTGGGTACCTTTCACACTCAGCAAAACCCACACCCTTGGATATCCTGGTGTACCCTGGGTGACAGGCCATAGGCTCTGGCCTCTGATAATTTGGCTTGTGCTACTGATTGAGTGGCCTGCAGTGACCATGGACACTGCATGTCACACTTATTAACTGTTTGGGTTGATGAATAAACAGTTGGCAACAGCACCTGCCATCTAGTCT